CATCTGCCCCTGTGTCTAACTTAGCTTTCAATTTATAATTTTCAACCTCTATATACTCTTCCCAAGTGTCTATCAAATCAACATTACATACCTTTTTCCTGCTGTTAACATTTCTTACAAAAAATTCATTAGAAGAGGTTGACTCACAATCATCTTTTTCAGTACTTTTAATATTTTTGACCTTGCAGGCAACTGCATAATGGTTTTTTAATCCACACTTGTTACACTTCTTGCCATAAGCTGGGCATTCCCTCGGACCATGCTTTTTTGCACACCTTCTGCATAAAAAAACTTCTTCTTCAACTTCTTTCTCTTCATTCCAAGGTTTCTTTTTCTCTATTTTCTGTGTATGATTAATATTTCCTGTGTTATATTGAAACTGTAAATTTTGAGATCTACTTTGCTCACTTGTTCTGCAGAATTCTATAGCTTTATTTAAACTTAATTTGTCTATTCGCAGGAGGGCTTCTCGTGTGGTCGGATCCCTAATTCCCATAACAATTTTGTCTCTTAATGCCTTGTCTTCACATGACTTATCGGGATCTAGGGCATTGTAATTGCAACTTCTAACCAAATGTCTGCACTCTGTCAAAAAATGTTCAAATGTCTCCCCATCTTCTTGTACTCGTTTTATAAAGTTGTACCTCTCAAAGCATTCGTTAACTCTTGGGTTCACATACTTATCTAACAGCTGCATTGTGAATTCATACTTATTTAGTTCTTCATCAGGGATAACAAAAGTAGCCATAATCCGTGCTGATTAATGGCCAATAATATTTCGCAGGATGGATAATTTCACCTGATCTACAGCGTCGTGTTGTCCTGTTGCTACTAAATAATCTTCGAATGAAATTTTCCAAAATTTCCATTCAGAAGCGGCACTCTGACCCTGGAGGTCGAAATCTTGGGGTAACTTAACATAACCTATTCCATTGACCATGCTTGCCATTTTGGGAACACTTAAATTTTTCTTTTTAATAAACTTAGCACTTAACTTTATCCTTGGACACGTAGATTCCATAAATTGACTGCGCCATGTTTAAAGTATGTTAATAAGGTCTCAATTAAACTACTGTATTGGCTGAACATATATTAATAATATTCATACATTACAACATGATCATGTCGCCCATTGTCCCCGTTGGGAAGTGGTGTTGACTTGACATTGACATATTTGACATAGTTACCAGGTTTACGTTAAGCCTATCTTACATTAATGTCAAACAACTCAATTCGGATTTAGGAGTGGCTTGGGTACGAGAGAAGCCGTCAGAGAAGTTCAGTATTAAAGTTCTGATCCAGAGATGCGGGGTTTAAAATCAAAGTGTATATTTCCGTGCAATGGAGTTTGAAAAAGCTTTTGACAAGGTCCAACATAACAAAATATAAGAAATATTGTAAACAGCTGGATTGGACGATAAAGATTTACGAATAATTAAAAACCCATAATGGCATCAAGTGGCAAGAATAAAAGTTGCAAATATAAAAAGAGGAGTGAGACAAGGTTGTATACTATCGCCTTACTAGTTAACTTGTATTCAGAGGAAATATTGAAGAAAGCCCTAATGGCGACAATAGAAGGTATTATTGTGAATAGTGTAACCGTAAACAATATTGGATATGCCGACGATACCTTACTGCTAGACAGAGTAGAAAAAATCGTGTATCCCTGCAGTAATATCAATTACAGCTGGGATACATCCGTAGAAATTAAACGGACACTTTTGTAAAAATAAGAAAGGTACTTTGCAGCCACGATCTTAATATTGACGTTTGCATGACATATTGCTATGACATACTGCTATATCTTTTCAGTGCTACTGTATGAAGTGGAAGTGTGGACTCTAAGTGAGCCTATGCTTAAACGCTTGAAAGCCTTTGAGATGTGGGTATACAGGCGACTACTAAGAGTAAGCTGGGTCGACAGAGTTAGAAATCAGGAGGTCCTCAGACGCCTGAACCAAACTACATAACTGGGCAATACAATAAAGACAGGCAAGCTGGAATACTTCGGTCACATTAAGAGACACCCTGAAAAATATGAGATCCAAGGTAAACGTGGACGTGGTACCATGGCTGAAAAATCTAATACATGGTATGGAAAATCGGCTACATCTCGACTTCATCATTATTTAGAGCTGCTCTCAATAAAGTCACGATAGCGAATATGATAGCCAACATGATATCCAACGACCGGTAATAGTTATGGAACTAGAAGAAGAATAAGGCGCTTTATTGCTATTTTATATTTGGATTGCCATTCGAACTTCCTCTAAGCTGGAAAACAACAAGGCGTTACCAAACTTTTACGGTGGCATCAAATTGGACCGTATTTAACATTTGCTAATACATACTTTTTTAAACATATTTTTTGGTAAAGCGAAAATCCAAAATTAATAATATGTTGTTTTTACCTGGATTCATCTTGTTGGTTGTATGTGAAAGACATTTTTCCATTTTAAAACTAAACAACAATATATAACTCGCTACTATTCACAATGAAATACAAAATCGCCAAATACTAAATACGAACTCAAGAATATACAGACAACATGACAAGAAAATATTATCATAAAACGTGTCATGATAACACATGAAAATCAAGAACATACAATATCACAAGAAAAAATTAAGTAAAGAAGCACGTAGTCGTAGTCCCTTATAAAAACAATGTGTTAGGAATACCCTAACCTAATCAAATGTTGAATCATAATTCTTAAGACCAATCACGCCCACGCTGCATCCTGTCTAATTTAGTTGATAAATAATGTATCTTTTATGTATCGAACTTATTGCGTGTGCATACGTCTTATAATCTGCTTTTATACTTATTAAGAAAGTGACCAATCTGTATGCTAATCATATTTTTACACTGTTTACAGTTTTGCGGTCTAGTTTATAGTTTTACAAACAATGTTGATTTCTGCAGATTCTGCGGAGGAATTTACTCCAAAGCGGACAAAATTACGTGCATTTAGTAGTAAGGACAAAAGCGTTATATATAATATTTATACATTGACAATGGAATCGCGTCCTGAAGCTTTAATATCGGTAACATCCTGCCTCTACTAGCGAAGTAAATGAAGCTTCTGTGTACAGATTAGGGAAAAGAAAAATACACAAGGATTTTCTCCAGCGAAAAAGAACAAGCCCAGAAAAAGCAAACTTGACAAAACGGAAGATTTTGATAAAATTGCTATACGACGAATAGTACATCAATTTTTTTTTTTCGAAACGATACAAAAAACGAGTGAAAACAATTTCAAATAAAATTTATATAAACTCGACTGTAAAAATTCGATATCTTTTATCAGAGTGTCCTATCGACAAAAATAAAAATGCTTTTTAAAGGTGAAGAGGCTTTCTTATACAATTTTTGGATTTTGCCGCAAATTGCGTCAGTTTCTATAGTCAGGTGTTAAATAAATAAATCTTTAGCGATTTTTACGATTCTCATGAGATCAATAATATTTATCACTTCCATTGACCGGTCAAATTGACCGCGATTTTTAGGCATATTTCAAATGCATCAAATTTGTTGCCAAGATTTAAAACCGAAATTTCAGGCTATGTTTTGAAGATGGGTTCTAATATTGAAAATTCCATAGTAATCAATCAATGGAAGTGATAAAAAATATTATTGATCTCATGAGAATCGTAAAAAATGTTAAAAATCGCTAAACGTTTATTTATATAACACCTTTATAAAAACTAATTTTATAAGAAAGCTGCACTTTTCACCTTTAAAACGCATTTTGATTTTTGTTGATAAAACATTCTCATCAAAAGATATCGAATTTTTACCGTCAAGTTGATACAAATTTTATTTAATTCATTTCGCGCGCGTACCTCATATCAAAAATCACTGGTCGCTACAAGTATTGTTTATGAGAGAACGATTCATTCTACACAGAAAGTGCTAATAAACATTTTTGTTTGAAATTATCTCAGCTACATTTTCATTTGAAACATTTTTTACGGCGTACAGATTCTTGGTAAATCAATTTTTTTCGTTTTTCTCCACCTATAAGAGGGGTTTTCGGGAAAGCCTTGGGGTACAAATGGTAAACGTATTTGCATCTTTTTCTGGGTCTTAAAATTAACATTTTTAGCAAAATTCAGCTTATTCGTATGATTTTTAGAGGTCAAATCTCTGACGATTTAACTACAACGTATTTATGTAACAGTTGTACAGAAACTGATTTCATTAGCGCATTGATTTCGCCAGCGTAACTGACATTTAAAATTAACGGTCGTTTCAAGTGTTGTTTCCGAGAGAAAGGTAATTTTTATTAAATCAATATTTTACGTTTAACCCTTCGAGAAGGTTTTTAGGGGAAGTCCGGGGGTAGAAGTGGTAAACTTTTTTGCACCTTTTCTGGAGTTCCAAAATCGGCAAAATTCAGATTGTTCGTATGATTTGTAGAGGTCAAATCTCTGATGACTTGATTATAAGTGTTTGATGAATTGGTATGCACTGCGTAATTTGTTTTTCTTAGACTTCTTTGTGTTTGATATTCGTTGTTTTTCATACTCTCCCTTTTTCTGTATGCATAATTTTATCTCTTCTTCGTCTTTTGTTCTCAAATTTTGTTTTTCTCTCTCTAGTTGGTCTATGTAATTCTTATGTGTCTTTAAATGACGATGACAATAGCTTATACGTTTTATTGTATTCTATAAAAACAGATTTTGAATAAACATATTTGAATAAAGAATTAAAGGATTAATTGTTTGTTTTTTAATTCAATAAAATACTGAATATGTGACAATAAAGGATATATATATATATATATATATATATATATATATATATATATATATATATATATATATATTTAAAATATATTGTAATATGTTCATAACATTTTTATGGCAACGAAAAACTGCACCATATTTTTAAAATCACTGTTTTAAACTTAGTTATCATGTTGTTATAGTACTTAAATTGAACATCTTCGAATCAACGTAAAAGAAATATAAACGGCAGTCATTAAAATAACTTAATCCCAGTCTTCTTCTTCCCACCCTGCATTATTTTCATCATTAAGACCGCTCACAGCAAGTTTACTACTTAAATTATTTGCTATTATAATCTCATTCTTGCTCTCATCCACAATAAACTTATTAGAACTTTCTATCACTGGCTCCATATCTTGAAAGAAATTGATATCATTTTGCTCGTTAATCACAGACTGAGTTTTTATATCTAGTTCGAAAATATCTGGAATTTTTATTTTATTCTGGGATGTTTCTATGTTCGTGCTTGATTCATCAATAAGCATGAGATCCTCAACACGATTGTCTCTATATGTTGATGTATGAATAGTTGAGGTTTGGCGAGTTTCATTTAAATCCCAATCTTCCCAATTATCTAAATCTTCATCTGCCGAAGGTTCTACTTCTTCGGTTGATGTTTCACCTTCTTCACCATCAGGTCTTGGTCTCTCAGGTAATTCACTAACAATATTAAGTTCATTTTCTAGACCACTAAAACTTATCTGATCGGCCTCTTGTGGTATCTGGACTGAAGTGGATGAGTTTTCGAAGATTTCCGTTTGTACTTTTTTTGATGATATTCGAAATGAATGCGTGGGTCGACCATCATTAAATAGTTTCGCCCGTTTGCCTCCGACTACAGTTTCGGAACCTAAAATTGGTACAAGCAAAGCTAATGTCGTCAGTGTGATGGAGACTAGATGATCATTGGTGTCCTTAATTCCAACTAGCAGCTGAAATTCCAAGTCATTTATTAGTTAAATTATATAACTTATAATATGAAAACTTATCTTAATATTATTAATAAGCTACAAATAAAATTTCACGTGCGATGATTAAGATAGTTAAGAAAATAAATGTACGAAAATAGAATGATTTGTTTCGTGTGCTTAAGAAAGAGAATAATTATATATAATTTAAATATTTAGTTGCTACGAATTGTATTAATTCCTTAGAATGTGAAATATCTAAATTGATCGTTAATATTAATATTAGAAAAAAGTAACTGTGATACAAGCGGCGACCACATTAAATATACTGTAGCAAAATAGAAAGACACACACAATACAAAGTCGCAGGGATTATTAATGGTGAAGAGGAATGGTGGAATAAGAAACCATGGCATTTCACGTATTCCAGTAAAAATTAGTTTATCGTTTTATTTAAAAATCTCGGCTCAACTACATAAACTTGCAAAATATTTAAGACATATATCTCGAAACCCTATATTGTATTAGTAAGCGTAAACATAACAAGTTTTAATAAGAATTGAAAATAATCGAATTCATATATCTTATTAAAGTTGGATACTGCCAAGGTAAGTATATGTATACACGTATACGGTTTAAAAATCATCTATAGTTTGGTTTCGAAATTGTAGACACTAAATGCCAGGAAATAATACTGACCATTCTGAGTTATTCTTGGTTTTCCAGTGGCGTAGAAAAATTTATTTGAAAGAGTGAGAGGTAGCGCTACTTGTATTGAAGAATGTTTACAAATTATATGTACTAAGTACTATTTTCTCCCCAGCGCTAAGAAATTTCCAAATATGTGGGATGCAGGTAAATAATTAAGACATCGGATTATATGAACTATCAAAAAAGCAAAATATGGATACAATATGTTCAAATTAAATAAAATAATTAAATTTACGTGAAGATGTGTAAGAGATTGTGGTATTATTCCTAAAATATTATAAATTATATATATATATATATATATATATATATATATATATATATATAATATTATAATTCATACACGTGTAACATAGTTTTGCATTTTGTTTATATTAAATATGTAAAGTAATTCAAATCAAGGACATTCATAAATAATATACTCTAATTAGAATTTGTTAATCAGCACTATTGTGAATCGCGACACTTACTTGGTATAGGTCAGGGAACAAACGACACGAATAATTAAAGTGCTGATACAGGCAAGGCTAGGGCTATTAAAAGCGACAACAATCATTATCTGGGAATCAGAACTAATTTAACGTCAAGATGGCAAGTTAATACATCACGCATTGTCAACGTCAACTAAGTACCAGTATATTTAAAATATTAACATTGTAAGAGTGCACTATAGTGTTTAAATAAATGGTTACATAAGTCAACAACACGTTATTTACTACGTACAACATTATTTACCATATGGCGATCCTGAAGTGGTAGAAACCAGGAATCTTCATCCAGAGAAGCTCAAGATGGGAAGGAAATCACAATGGAAGTTTAAATGAATTTACAATGGATTTAAATTTACATACTAGATGTAATATGGAACCCATTGTAGCAATTTTGAAATGGGAAAATGCATCAACAGATAAGAAAATTCCGGCCAAATTCCGGACCAGACCCACCGGGAGCCCCGCGGCAGCATTCCAGCTCAGGACAACGAAAATAAATGGAAAATGGATAAATGGAGAATGAACAAAGGTGAATGGATAAGGACCATATGTGAAATGTATTGTGTGAGTAAATTTATTTTTTTATCCCTTATATAAGTACAGTCTAACAGATAGAAATTATTAATTATTAGTTGAATATTATAAGGATTTAATTAGGTCAAATTCAAAATGTTGAATATACAATTTTTTATTACTTTTAAAAGTAGAGTATATAATTTATTTTTAAGTTATTACTAAATAACTATTTATATATCGAATTCTATTTTTTTTTAATGAAACAAATGTGTCGTATAATTTTATTTACTAAAGGTATATTTTTAAAAATATTTATATTTGACAATGAAAATACACTGACAGATCGGAAATATTAAATTACGACATGAACTTGCTATTTGATATAGACGAAGAAATTGGATATGACTTTATTTAACTATTTAGCTATAATAAATTAGGATATTTAGAATAATTGTTACATTTATAAGGAAGGAAAAGAATTTAAAAGAACTTCTAAAGATAATTGACTATGGCGTCAGAAAAATTTTCATTATGTTGGAACAATTTCCACGAAAATATGAGTTCAGGAATAAATTCATTATGGAAGAGTCAAGATTTTGTAGACGTAACGCTTGCAGCACAAGAAAAATGCATAAAAGCCCATAAAATGGTTCTTTGGGTTTGTAGCCCATATTTTAAGGAAATTTTTAAGTTAAATCTCTGTCAACATCCTATAGTAATTTTAACAAACGTGACTTACGAAGCACTAAGAGACTTACTACAATTTATATACCATGGAGAAGTACAAATTAGACAAGAAGATTTAAATACCTTCATTGAAACGGCCGAATTATTGCAAATACAAGGACTCACTGGAGATAGAAAAGTTTTAAACGATAATAACATTATGGAAATTTCGGATAAAGAATATACTCAAAATGTAGACGATTTTAAGCCAGTTTCTCTACCTGTGACAAAGAAACAACAACCTATAAAGAAGGAAGAACATAGAACACTTACAATCAACTAATTTTTAAATATCGCAAGCAAGGTGTTACCCAGCGAGTTTGATGGAAGCGCAGGTAAACTGCAGTCATTTTTGGATGCATTAGAACTCCTTGAAAAAAATAGCGATAGGACACGAGGAAACTGCGATAACATTAATAAAGACAAGATTAACCAATAAGGCCAGAAACGTTATAACTACAGAGGATACAATCGCAAAAATAGCAGAAGCACTGAAAAAAGAACTGAGAGGCGATAGTCCGAAGATGGTAATAGCTAAATTGGCGAAGAAAAGACAAGGATATAAAGATGCAGACGTCTATGCATCTGAAGTTGAAGAATTAGCGGAACAGCTAAAAGTTGCATACGTAGCGGAAGGAATGCCATTGGAACTAGCGAAAAAATGCACAACAGAGGCAGTAGTAGCTAAAATGAAACGTAATGCCAGCACAGACAAAGCCAAGATAATATTGGAGGCAAGCAACTTTTCGACCACACAAGAGGTTTTGTACAATTTTTTATCGATCGACGAGACAGAAGATAGCACACAAGGAAGAGTATTAAATTACAGGAACAAATACGATTTTGACATGGGAAAAGCAAGTAAGAATGCAATATATAGATATTATAAAAATAAATTTGAAGAAAGAAAAGGATATAGGAACAAAAATTATGGAAATATAAGTGAATATAAAAGACATGATACGAGGATATATCGTAATAGAAACAGAGGAGATTGGCAATCACAATGAAGAACAAAGAATAATCAATGGACACAGGTGAGATGCCACAGAAATAGAGACACAGCAAGAGCGTATTACGCACCGCATGCGAATACGAATACAGTGCCAGAAGTAGATTTTTTTGACAGAAATGTAGACAAACTACGTATGGTTCGACCTTAATGGTTGGAATCTACGTCCAGCAGGAGGCGGCAAAGAGGATAAGCTAGGGTGGTACTGCAATCCCAACCCGCTAAGAGTCCTGCGGCTCCAGCACGACAATACAGTAACTACATAATAGTTTAAAATGGAAAAACGAATTTGGAATTATGATTTTTTTTTAATGAAGTAAATGGAAAAATTAACGAAAAAGAAGTTTGCCACAATAGAGAACTCAGAGGAAATTATATTACAACAAAAAACCCACAAGCAAACAGTAAGAAAGGCACTAACTAATATGGAGGCGCATAAACTACCAATTTTGTCATTTGGAACAAACCGAGTCTCGAAGACTGAGCACTCGGGTCAAAAACAAAATCAAATGGCTACAATTGTGCTATTGTGGTTAGGAAAATGAGCAATAAGATATAGGGATATAATAGAAAAAAGAAAATAAGATATTGAAAAATGTAGAAATATACATATGCGAAGAACTAAAAATCATAGATGATGAACAAGAAAAACTGAGAATATAGAAGAATACCATAATCACCCGATGTTTGGAGGTCACGTGGGAAATAATAGACTTGTAAAGAAACTAAAAGGACGATTCCCTACTATTATTGTATTATATAATATATACAATGATTGTATTTTCATGCAAGAGAAGAAAAGATGTTAAATAAAATAAGTACGCACACAGGCGGAAAAATGATGAACAGGTTATTTTGAAAAGTGTATGTCAATATTATTACATATTTGGCGAAATTAATTTCGAGACCGAACCGAAATACAGAAGAAACAGTTATAGTAATATAGAAACAAGAAGTTGAGAAGGAATTTACAGAAGGATTAATAGATAAACCGATTAAGATTGTGTTACCTATAAGAATCATAAAAGTAAATAATCGAGAAATATAAATTAGAAGTTTTATTCCGAAGATACAAAACTAGGAAAAATTTTATATATTTTATAAGGAAGAAACATTTAACAAGCCCAAGACATATCTTATAAGCCCCGTTATATAATTCCCCGATTTATCGAAGAAAAACAAATTTAGGTTAAGAATTTATGCTTCAGGAATAGCATTAGGAAACAAATGTGAATGCAGAAGATTATAAAGAAAATGATAATAATGAAAAATGAGAATAAGAAGAGATGAAAAATAAGAATCAGCCAATTCTTAATGAAATACGAAGAGAAAAATAATATTTTTTTTAAGGAAAGTATAAAAGCTTGTATAGTACAAGATAAACATAATAAAATCAATACATAATATAGGACAATATAAGCAGGCCAAGAAGAGTTATAATTAATAACTTCCACATGTTACAGGAAGGTTATGGAAGAATAAATAGGATATATAGTACAGAAATATAAGGAAATACTATTTCTGGAACGAATTACGAAGAAATGTTGAGAAATATGTGAAATGTGAAGAGATGCGACGACTGCCAAAGGCATAAGCACTCAATCATAAACAAGGAACCCATGAACATGTACATGGATGAAAATAGAAACAGATATATTGACGTACAATGCTAATTAAGCAACCACGTAGAAGAATACGTAATAGAGAATAAAATAAGCCGAAACAGTAGCCAAATCATTGGTAGAAAAATTTATGTTGAGGTATGGAGTACCCAGAAAAATAATAGCAGACCAAGGCACAGAGTTTATAGCTAGAATAATTAAGGAAGTAATACTTTGCTGCAATTAGATTCAATGAATATACTCGTAATATATACATGTACTTTTGAATGCAAATAATATAAAAATATTTTTAGATGAATATAATGTGTAAATATAGTTTTAAGTTCGTATAATATATACTTTAAATGTGTATAACAAAAAGAAAAATGTCAGACTGTATAGTAGTTACTTTATTATAACAAAATCAATAGGGATAAATGAATAAATGAATAAAATCACAAAACTTTATTGTGAAATGTCAAGTGATTAATAGTGTATACGAAAAGTGAAAACAAAACTATTACTTGGTACAAGAATTGTACAAGAATTAATATAAGATTTTATTATTATAAATTTTTATTTATTATGTAAAATATGTAAAGGTTATTGTAAATATTATGTGCGCATAATAGATGGTAATATAATCTAAATGATTTAACGTAAGGTAAGAAAAAAACGTACGTAAAATATTAAATTAATATACGGGTAAGGAATAGTGAAGGATACCAGATAGCATATTACAAGGGAACAATTAGGGTAACCTTATAATATGCTGAGGTTAGGTTGGGTTACTAAATTTTTACTAAATATAAGGAAATATATACCAACATTTATATAAATATGTATACGGTAGCATAGATAAACAGTACTTATTTGAGGTTAAAAAATTTCTCTTTTTCCGAAGGGAAAGAGAGAGAGAGAGAGAGAGAGAGAGAGAGAGAGAGAGAGAGAGAGAGAGAGGAATGAGGCAGTTGCAAAAGAGAAAGTTTTTTCCGTAAGGGGGATGGTGTGGTATTATTCCTAAAATATTAGAATTCATATATATAAAATATTATAATTCATACTCGTGTAACATAGTTTCGCATTTTGTTTATATTAAATATGTATAGTAATTCAAATCAAGGACATTCATAAATAATATACTCTAATTAGAATTTGTAAATCAGCACTATTGTGAATCGCGACACTTACTTGGTATAGGTCAGGGAACAAGCGACACGAATAATTAAAGTGCTGATACAGGCAAGGGCAGGGCTATTAAAAGCGACAACAATCATTATCTGGGAATCAGAACTAATTTAACGTCAAGATGGCAAGTTAATACATCACGCATTGTCAACGTCAACTAAGTACCTGTATATTTAAAATATTAACATTGTAAGAGTGTACAGTAGTGTTTAAATAAATGGTTACATAAGTCAACAAAACGTTATTTACTACGTACAATATTATTTACCATAAGATCGTAAACGGTAAAACGGATATAAATCCAATTTTGTTCGTAAGCTATCGTTAAGGGAGGGGAGTATGATTTTGAGATTTTTGAAGTCAAAAATTGGTCTTTTTTTACTTCTATAATTTGAAAAACGTAAAAATGATCCTAGGGAAATTCATAACTTAAGAAAATCTTTTTGGTTTTTTGTCAGCAGATGATACAGTTATACGTTAGATAGACACCGCAAAGTACCTTTTTTTATTTTGAAAAATTAGCTGCAATTGTCATGATTTTTAATATTTTTGTACCAAAATTTTAGATAATACTCTTGAGATGTTGTACTATAATGTACTAATGCCTAAGATCTCACTGCAGGATCACTACGTTCATAACGTAGTTAATCAAACTCACATTTGTACATATATTCAAAATTAGAATACATTGATAATAAGTTGCGATTCAAATAATAAGATTTTTTTTTAAATTTTATTTTGTTCACTAATTTTTTAAATAAAATACGTTGCTCTGTGCAGCTGTTAAAAACGGGACAACCCTAATTTGTGACAATTTTTTCTCAGTTAACCAATATAAAAAATTGCATATACTATATGAGCAGCGTATTTTATTTAAAAAATAAATGAACGAAATAAAATATTTGTCACAAATTAATTACATACTATTAATAGAATTAAAAGTATTTGTGGCCAGTTTTTGGCTGACAATCAAAATTTTCTTCTAATTTTAAATGTATGTAAAAATGTATGATTGATGAACTACGTTATGAACATAATGATGCTGCAATGGGATATGGTACTATAACGTTATAAATAAATTTATATTAAACAATTTAACAAAAAAAAATCTTAAAAATATGTTTAAACTATTGAAAATAATCCCTACCCCCTTTAACAGAATTATCAAGTACACATGTCAGTCGTTACAAAGTAAAATATCAAAAAATAAGATTTGAAGTTTATTGTAGTTAGATTAATTTTATATGATTCGTTTTATAATATATATTACATAATATGTTAATTCAAAAAAATTATATATGATTCAAAAAAACTATTAATATTACCAGAAGGAGATCTATAGCAGTTTAACAATATAA